CGTGTGTGCAAGAAATAACAAGAAATATAAAGTAGAAAAGCACAGAATGTTGAAAAGTATTATATTGATACAAAGTAAGACAAATAAAGTAAACATTAATACATGACATGGCCATTTTGTCCCTGTCAGGTCAAACGAATGGTACAGAGCTGTTCAACGATCTCTGGTCTCGGGCATTGGTTTAACAAAATGTTATTCGTAATGTTAAATGAATGTTTACCAACAAAGTAAATAGATAATTAATTAAAACATTTGTGCTATACATTCAAGCTAATAAATAACATTACTTTAAACAAAGAGAGAATCGAGTTGAGATTAAAATTGTTGCAAGTGTATGACACCAATTATTTCATATAAAGGGCAATATCTGCATACTTAATTATTTAAGTTTTATAATAAAAGAAATATGCACTGCCGAAACCCGGGTTCGAACCAGGGACCTTTAGATCTTCAGTCTAACGCTCTCCCAACTGAGCTATTTCGCCTGTATACCTTCAAAATAATCGATCGATTTGACATAGAGAATAGCACGTGTGTATCCTACACACGTTTTGTACTAGAAGACAACAATGGGAATCTAGGTATTGAATTGGTTTGGTTTGGTTTAGAATTGTTTAACGTCCTATCAACAGCTATGGTCATTTAAGGACAGCCTCCCCTGTGTGCAAAATGCATGCGTGTAGTGTATGCGTTTGTTTTTGGGAGGCTGCGATATATTCGTGTTTGTCTCCTTGTGATAGCGCGGAACTGATGCCGACTTTATAGTGCTACCTCACCAAAACATACTTCCGAAGACACCCAGCAGGACACCCCGCCCTGTCACATTATACTGACAACGGGCGAACCATTCGTCCCACTCCTAAATTGCTGAGGGTTAAAGGAATAGAAACTAACATTTTTACAGACTCTAGTATGTCGCGGCCAGGGGACAGAACCCAATAGTATCGGGTTTAAAAATATTTTTAGTAAAAAATAATTTGATTATGCCAAATAGAACAAAGAATCTTACAGTTTATTCCATACTTTACAAGATTTGCAATTAATGAAATGTTAATTTTCTACAAACAAAAAAAATATACAAAAAGAACTTTTGAAATTCTGTCTCTGTCCATGAGTATGTCCCTAAATGTCATCTGATCAGTTTGCAGGTAAAGAATGCACTGATTTACCAATTGTATTCCGCCAATTGACAGGAGAATACTATAAAATACTAGCCAATCAGAAAATAGGATTAGACTACATTGAATGCACTATTAGTAAAACTAAATTATGATACACGTTGTAACATGAAATATATATAAGATCATGGGCTCTAGTTGCGTTCGTATCAATAAGGGACATTGCTGAGCGTTACGATGGTTCCTCTTAACACCGTCGATGTAGCCATGCCTTTGAAATGTCAATTGAAAATTATTTCAATTCAGCGATTATATTGTGCAAATATATGAGGATGACTTTAAATCATCCATTGTATAAATGACAACCTGAACGAATGCATCCCTTTACATTTAACAATATCATATAAACAATTTTTAAATTTATAGGGACCGCGTCACAAAATATCGAATTGTTATTGTATATCAAGTAAGAGAGACGTTAAGAGTTCAAGACAAGCAGCAGTTTTAAACATGCCATTGACCACATGTCTATGCTCAAGTGGTAATAATCCCATAAAAACATGTCTAATTGAGTAATAAAAATACACCGTACAGAAAACAAAATGTTCTATTATGATAACATATTATTGATACTACTTTAAACATATCCAATATTGTTTATGAGAATAAACATAAAACATCGCAATAGACCTCTTAACAACCTACCAAACCACCGGAGACTAAACCAGAGATTCCGTGCATGTTTCCTCAACAGGATGTCGCTCACCAATAATCTGAAAGACAAATAACAGTTGGCATAAACGCTGGGTATGTATTGTATGTATATATATATATTAATTATTTCAGTGATAAAAAGATTAACAAAAGGAAAGGATTGCATATGTAATTGAATGATCATCCTCAAATTGAAAATTAATAAAACATCACTGTTTGGGTAAACCTTATAACGTTATGAGAACACCGTTTGCAAAATGCTAACACGATTATATATTTTTAATGACCAAAGTAGCAAATGGATATCACGCAAAATCAATCGAATTGAGGGACAACTTGTCCCAAAAGTTTGTTATCCTCAACAGAAAACAAAAGTAAACCAAATGACAATTACCAATAATTATGCTACAAAAGGCCAATTATTCTGCAAACTACACGTATAATTTAAAAAACACACACACAAATGGCAATAACTCATGCTTACCTTGGGAGCAGCCCTTACATATATATATATATTATTCCGTCTTTGCGTATTGCAAAGTTATCTTCTCTTCGGAGCAGGTATTGATTGTTACGTCACTTGTTTGTGAGAGTAACGTCATCAATTTTTGAGAAAACGACGTAATTTTCTCACACAAACCAATGACGTAACAATCAATACCTGCTCCCAAGAGAAGACGGAATTGAGTCGTATAGATGGTATATAGTGGTTGCAAACATTAGCACGTTTCAAGTTAACTTAAAGAAGTTTGTTTCTGTATTTAATAGGCCCTTAACGATAAAATCGACAGAGAGGCGGTAATAGCAATATAGAAAGAAAAACAATTGAAGAATGTGATTTTAAGATGCATTTTTCCAACCGTTTGGTATAACATTTTGCCGAGTCTTTTTATATTCAGGTCATTTGCCTTGCAAAGTGAATACTCAAAGTATATTACACTTTTATATGTATATTCTGTTTAAAGCTATTAATGGAAAGATAAGCAAACCATACGACATCGAACCATATCATCTCATTCCGTGGTCACAACATTAATTTAAAACACATACAGAAGAGTGTCACAGTAACTAATGTATATCAGGAATATCTGTTAGAACCTATTGCGCTCTTTGAACTAAGCTATTTCATATAGGTGATGAATGTGTGGTCAGGAGTAAAAGTAAAATCACGGTAGTCAACATTCAAATCTATTTACGATTAGGCAGAAATGCAAGTGGTGAATTACCTTGATATTTCCCATTAATACACCTGTATGTGAAAGGAATGAGAAAGTGTACAAAGTTGTTATACTTACTGCATTTGCCTATATATTAAAATTAAAATAATAATATACAACATTTCTATACCGCCATATATGATTTGTAAAATTACTCTAAAGCGCTTAACAACATATTGATAATAGTAATAGTTATAATTGTGAAACAAAAACAAAGGTTTACAGCCACTTTTATACATTTAAGCAAGCAATTTGCACATAACAAATAAAGGGTGGTATTTACATGACGTCTTTGCAGAGACCCTAAAATGCAGACATGAAGAGGTTAGTTTTGATGTCCCTCTTGAATTTGGCTAGGGTATTTGACTTTCTAATAGCAGATGGTAAGCTATTCCACAACGTGGTCGAAACCCTCCCAAAGCACCGGTTTCAATAGGTTACAGTACGAGATTTAGGGACACACAACAATGATTAAAACAGAAAAAATAACGTAAATCAATCAAAATCAAAATATCAATTATATCTTGACGAGAATAAATCTGCAATAACAGCATTCGAGTTTGGAAAAAAGATTACGTATCTGACTTCTATCAAAAATTAAATGCATTCAATTAAACGTGATATTCCACATAAAGACACTAAAATTAAGTTGTAATAGTTTTAACAGATAAAACCATTACCACCCTTATCATACAGAATTAACTCGATGCTGATAAACTATACACTGTACGTGTTCATTTAATATCAACATAACAAAGAATATTATCTTGGGCCATTGTGGAGCGATAGCAGATATAAAGTTGATTACACACCTTTTGAATAAAGTTCAAAGTCTAACCAACTTGATGTTCCATATACATAATTAGTATATTAAACAGGTTAAAGATTGGTCCACGTATGAGATGCTTGACCACACATTAAAACAATGTCGTAGATGTCTCCAGCAATAACGAATTAAAGCCATGAACAATCAAAATGATGACATTTAAAATGGAAAAATAGGATTTTAAAATTTGGATTTCAGAAACAATAATTTAACCAAAAAGTATATTCACCCTATAACACTGCTAAAGGTATTATTATACATGAAATTTATAATTATTAATCAAATCAAATCAAATATTATATATAAGAAATATCAAATGTCCACTTTCCCGAAAAAAAATCATAAATAATAGCAGAAAAAATTGAGATAATTAAGCAATTCTATATTTGGTTTGAAGAGGCCGTCAAACTAACAGAGCGCACATATACACAGGCTATACTATACAATTAAAGGTATGCGATTGTGTTGGTCGTAAAAAAACACTACTGTAATAGTTCGACATTGTTTTAATGTGTTGAAACGCACGGGTGCCGATCTCCACAGTTCAATCTTCAATACTTTATGGTTGATAAATCATGATAAATAGGTAACGTATACGCCATAGTTAATTCACGTCCCCGAAGTTGGAATGTTGAAATGTACGCGTGTTGCATTTCAAACCATCGACAGATTGATGTACATTGGCTATCATCATCGACCTTAAATTCTGTGTCGCTATAACTGACTTCATATTGCTTCGGTTTTTCTCATTATGAAGGTATCAGTCGAACCCATCTGAGTAAGAAAGGCTATTGGACATTTTGCAATTGTGCTGAATCATTTCGGGTGTCTTGTTGAGGAATAACGGTGGTAATAATGGTTCTTATGGCGTTCCACGGTGGACAATTAATTACCGGTGAATTTTACTGAGAATCCCCAGATTCCGAACTACATAGCATGATCCATTCGTGACAACATTGGTGTTTCATCAGTGACGATTGAATTGGGACATCTCTTTCCGGGGAGATTAGTGGATGATACATAGCGAAGAACTACATTTCAACACTTCTATAAGTTAATAATCTTTAATATATGTGGTATACAATGCTAATCAATTAGCAAAACAACGTAAACTATAGTGAATACATGGCTACAAAACAGAAAACCGTGCCGACGTCAGCAACCTCAAATAAACCATCATCCGCGCATGGAGATTCGTCTTCTTCGGACGATGCATCAGGCAAACAAAAGCATAGACTTGTGTCAAAGACCAAAATCGTGGCAGAATACGATATCACTGGAAATGCGGTGTGTATATGTCCTACAACAGACGGAGGGTTTTGGACGTGTAATGATAGCACTGGACTAGTAACACTACGAGACAAACAAGGCGATACAGTAAGTGAGATCAACCACGGTAACGGCATACGGGATATTAGTGTATCACCAAAAACACAGAATCTATGGGCATGCTGTCTAAAGGATAAAACCGTTATGGAGTTGACGACAGAAGGAAAATTTAATGAGAAATTCAGGACCGAAGATCAGCCATGGTGTGTTTGTGCAACAGCTGATGGCCATGTTCTTGTTGGAATGGTAAAAAAAATCACAAAATGTACGACAGAGGGAAAAGTAGTTCTTGCCTCGAAGAGAATCAGGTTGCCTGGGAGGAGACAGCTCATTTGTCTTCCGTCGAAGATTGCAGAGTGTAGCACTTCACACAACGTAGCCATGGTCGAACAGGACCAACCCATAGACGGAGGAAAAGACGAACCGCACATCCTGGTCATGAATAAGGATTTTCAGGAGCTGTTTCGTTTCCAAGGATCTGTTCCAAAACGTTTTTCCCAAGCTGCAAAGAAAAAGATAGAATCAGGCTCATTTTTCCCATTCGATGTGGCATTTGATGCAATAGGTAACGTTGTTGTGTCTGATTACAATAATTGCAGTATATACCTGCTGAATAATCGTGGCGAGTTCCTCAACCTATTGTGCTCAAATTCGAAAGTGGTAAGGGCCATTTCTGTGGATTATGACAATATACTGTGGGCAGTGTTTGGTTCGTTTGGCTCTCAAACGGTAAAGCGTTTGAAATATAGTACGTAGCGTCAGGTGTTTACACACAGGTGTTCGAGTTATTTATATTTATCATACAATCAAGTTAATTTGTATAAATAACAGCATACAGTATATCCCAATAGTCTATATCTCTGTTAGCTACTGTTACTTAGTGTAGACACTCTAATCTATTGTGATTTATTAATTCACAAAGGCGAACAATTTTCGATACCCGTTTTTGTAAGATTGAAATTACTTTTATAGTTACTTTTTATTCAAATTACCTATCAAGCAATACGTACTAATGTATCTCATTGAAAACTCTGGTTCATGTAAAGTGGCAAATTTCAGTGGTGCAAGCAATTTTTCTTCACATGCATATCCACACACTAACGTATCTTGTTCGAACGTATATAAATTTAAATATGATTTCTTTTCAACATTTGTAAATCAATTTTCCTAACTTACACTAATCACTCCATCCTCGATATCCAGGGGTTACGCTCTAGTACGCTCTCTTCACCCCTGGAATATGTCATAGTAAAATTGAAGGCTTAGTGTGCACCTTGTTGATGAGACAAGAAGACTAGTTCGATCCTTTGATGTATTCAAAAGAATCTCGCGGCTGACCTTGAAGTCGGGTGTCGCCCCTTTGAAATCTTCAAAGGACAGGTATCAGCCTAGCGATTAGTCAAGGTTTTTACCTGAGACCAATGAAACAGCTATCGTTGTGCCTTCAATTTTGCTATGACATATTCTTGGGGTGCAGATAGCGTAAGTGGGCGTAACCCCTGGGTATCGAGGATGTAATCACTCTTGTTTGCCCGGATGGAAGTGCACAGAGGGTCATAATGTGGGAGGAAACCGGAGTACCCGGAGAAAACCGATGTGGTCCGGCAGGTGACCCCATACTTTTCACAAAATATATCAGGGACAACAAACGAACAAAATATCACATTGAAACTTAATATGTAGTTGTTTAATTAATTTAGATATTGCGCTTTGAAATGTTAAATATCTTTTTTAACTAAGCAGAAAAATCATAGGCAGACATTTCAAGTTAAGTTGGTCAACTATTAATAGATCACTATAAACAACGAAGTATTGTATAGTGTTTTATCAGTCACAGCTGTGTATATTTAGACGCCCACTGATAGTCTAGAGTTAAAGTCTAGAGTTAAAGTCTAGAGTTAACAGGTTTCCAGTCCATTTACTATCAGTCCATCAGTCCTTTTTGGGATATCTGTCAAAAGGTCTTTGAAAAGGCCATGCAATCTTCCAATGCAAATACATAAAGAAAATACTGAAACCTATTAAGGGTCAACAAGCCCACTAACGCAAAGTATGGTCACCCTAAATTCCAACCCAATAGGTTGTATTTTCATATAAATGTATGTAATTTTGATATTTTTAGCTCGAGTTATTAACACGATATCTAATGAATGCCGAGTCTTTGATAAGGCTTTTATATTTAATATTGCAAACCATGCTAATCTCTTTCGTAGTAAAACTGTCGTGAATGACACATTATATAAAGTAAATGTATATACCTCCGGACATCTGTAGCTTAATTACCTACTGAGGAGGGACAAGCCAGTCTAAAATTAAAATGACAAATAGCATAGTGTATGATAACCAGTACTCAGAGGGTTTCATTATTTTATAGGTTTATATGTATTAACACATCATTGTGTTACTATGAATACTCATCACTATATTATCTCTATGAATAAATAGTACTCTGTAATCTAGAACTCTTGTTAGCTTTTTTATTTTCTGATTATCTACAGTCAAATATCGGTGTTACAATAGCTCGAATTGAAATTTGTCAAAATCCTGGCTCACTGACTGAAGTTCCAACAAACTTGTCAGTTTGCGACACAAAGTCCATTCCTCTGGTGAACTCGACTTCAACAACAAGAGGCACAATTGTGATTCTGCATCGCTAACCTGCTAGTAATCTCACACGTGTAACCTAAAAAGTGGACTATAATAAAGCTACAGGCAAAATATCACTATCTAGGACTCAAAGTCAATCAAAAAAGTCTGTTAAAAGATTCAAACACATTTGACCCCGGTGACCTTGAAAGTCAAACAAAAATATTAAGTTGAACAAAATTTATATATACGTTATTTATTCTTACAACAATTATCAACTTACAACTGATATGAATCAGCCTTGTTGGCCCGTGTGTTTACGCACAGGGGTCTTAATGAGGGTGGAGAAAACCCACGTGGTCGGGCAAGTGACCCCATATCTTTTCACGTCCGATTGGGGAATCGAACCCTGGTCGCCTTAGTGAAAGGCAAGCGCGCTATCCACTGCAACACCCACCACCGAAAAGACTTTAAAGCCCTTCATCAAAGCATGCAACTTGCCAAATATCAACACCCTAGACCATATTTGGTAACCCTACATCTCAGCATGCTCCTTGTTAAAGTTCATCTCCCTTGGTCTTTTGGTTATTCTTCAGAAGTTCTTTACAATTATAAATATATTGTACTCCTTTGACCTTGAATATGGGTGAAGTATTTCATTTGAACATATTTGGTAATCCTTTATCCCAGCATGCTACTGGCCAAATAACATTACCCTGGACATTTTGGTTATTCAAAGAGATCTTTTGATTTTTTTTAAACAATTGAACCCTGTGACCTTGAATATTTGAACTAAGTTTGTAGCCGCTCATCTTAGCAAATATCAATCCCCTTGGTCTTATGGTTATTCACAAGAAGTCATTTAATATTTTAATCATATTTTAACCCTTTGACCTTAAATATGGTTGATGGTCATTCAATTTTAACAAACTTGGTTGACCTTTATCCCAGCTTGCTACTGGCAAAATATCATGACCCTGGACTTTTGGATTATTGAGAAAAAATTCTTCAAAATATTTCGACGTATTTGAACTCTGTAACCTTGAATATGGGTGAAGGTCATTCATTTGAATAAAGTTGGTAACCCTTCATCCCAGCATGCTACTTACTTAATATCATCACCCTAGCCTTTTTTTTTGCTATGAAGAAGAAGTCATTTAAAGTGTTTAACATATTTTATACCTATGACCTTAAATATTTGTCCAAATCATTCATTTGAACAAACTTGATAGTCATACACCCCAGCATGTAACTGGCCAAACATCATCATCTTAGGCCTTCAAGCTATTCAGAAGGTACTTTGATACATATCTCGATATATATTTTTATGCAAAAAAGGTGCTGAATGAAAAAAGAAAGTGTTTTCTGTAAGTCGTCAACCTGAATCAAATACAGGTATCATATTATGGATCACATGTATCACATAGATTTAAGATTAACATTTGTGAACCGACCATCATTTATGGAATTGCAACCGATTCCCACCACTAGCAATAGCCTGTGTAAGGTTATTGCCATATCCTTTAAATAGGTAGCAATTTGCAAAGTAAAAACACGTATCTGACACATAAAACTAAACTTTTGAAAAGTTTTGTGATGCAGAGACATTTTATTTCTGTATAGATATGATACTATATATGTCTGCGCTGTGTATTGAGATATACCAGTTTTCGAAAATATTATTAAAGACCTTAACTCATTTCACACCATCAAACCGACATCTTACGATAATAATTCTAATCGATTTGGAATTATTTCAAAACAAAATGTTTCAAAAAGAGTTATTTCCCTTTAGTAAAATTTACCCCCTGCATGACCCTTGAGAGAAATAGATGCCCTTGGGTTGTGACTTACACAATGGTGGATCTTCTATATGTGTCTTATGATTTTTTACATCCACAAAGAAAGAGTGCCAGGTATATTCTAGTCCTTAAAATAATTCTTATAATTCTAGAATTTTTGGATATGAAGAAGTTTTAAATTTTAGCCAACTTTGAACCTACCTCTCAGCCCCAAGAGGTGAGTCAAGATTTTATTGTTACTACCATCAAACTACAATCCAATCATTATATTTCATTTTAATTATTTTGTTCAGAAAATTAAAAGAAAGGATATGTAAAATTCCCTGCTTCAACTAGTTTTTTTACCCTCTACAAATTGGAGAAACTAAAAGGATGACAGAAGGGTACTGAAATTACCAACTGTAATAAAATAACTTAATTTGGTCTATCCATCCATTAATTAAGAGTGTTTGATTTCTGCATCTGATGAAGATTTTTCAAACTTAAACCCATTTCCTCCCTTTGGACTCAACGTCGGGCCATGGGGTGGATAAGGATGCATTGTATTATAGTTTCTTGTTTATCCTACCATCTATCTGCTATCATAACACCATAATTTCAGTCTAAACTCTTACTAACTCAAAATACCTGACAGGGGGAATGGATGGTCAAAGGGTTACAATATAACAATCTAATTGGCCTACATTTTTGTACATGTGAAGAACTTTCCATCTAGGAAGAGCATTAATAATGAGGCAAAAACCATACCACCAATGAGTCGCAGGTTTGAGGCCTACGTGGGGCAGTCGCCAGGTACTGGTCGCAGGTCGGGGGGTTTTCTACGGGAACTCCGGCTTTCCTCCACCATCATACCTTGGTACGTCCTTAAATGACCATAGCTGTTAATAGGACGTAACCCCCCCCCCCCCAAAAAAAACCTCTAATAGATTATACATGCATCAAACAAATATGAAATACTTTGAAAAACAACAACTTTAACTTTGTAATTGACATTTAAAATATGAGTTGGGCATATCATATGTCTTCTATAGAATATCTGAACCATTTTTTTCCAAGTTTTTTTTAATTTTTCAGGGTAGGAATTGAGAGAAATTTACATTTGGGCGGATTGGTCGAGTGGTTAACACTTCGGCCTTCCACGCAGGCGGACGGTGTTGATCCTCGAAGCGTCGCACGCATGGAATATCAGAGAAAGTGTTTTTCTCCTGCCCACAATAAAATTGTATTGATTAATGTACATGATATGCTAATTGTATTAATTGTATATCTATGTACTGTAAAAGCGCTTTAGAGTGGCTTATGTTAGCTAGGGCGCTATATCAAATATTATATATTATTATTATTTGACATGTAGATCCTTTCCCTATCACTTAGGTGCAATATTACCTTGACCCTCAAATTTGCTTTGCTTGTCACCACTGATGCCACAGACCTGAAACATTAATTAAATTTTAACAATAACAGAAAATCACAAATGACTGTGCTGGCATGACTGAAATTAGACAAAACATCAGTTTCGGAACAAATTCCACAGCCAGCTACTGAATGGTTTTCTTTAGTATCACATAAAAATCTTGGACTTGAGCAAGGCTACCACTACTGTACAGTTTATATATACATGTACTACATTCATTAGAGTGCGGCAGTGCCTAGGGTCACCCACTGGATATCACCGTCACTCGAGGCCAGGTATTTATTTTATTATACCGAAAAAAAGAACATGGCTGCTGAAACTAACCGTACACGTATCTTCTTTGCGCTGTCACTATTTTGCACCAACACACACTCGTTGCTAGGGCGTTGGGATGACTTAATGTTAAAGCGAATGTGACAGTTTGAAATGAAAAATTGTCTCAGCCAATTAGATCACGGGATTTTCACTAGAGGTATAATGAAATAGTCTTGATCAACTTCATGTTTACAAATTGTGTCACTTCATACCCGAGGTCAAATTAATAAAGAATAAATGGTGTTTCATTGGTAGACTACAATGTAATACGAGTTACTTACTCTGATTTTCAACTACAGAGATAAAAAAAATCCCGCGAGCCGGAGTCGAACCAGCGACCTAAGGATAGCTATTAGATATACCACTACAGTCCTCCGCTCTACCAACTGAGCTATCACGGGAGATGTTTAAAGAACAAGAAAAGTTCGTTATTGTGGATTTATGTTTAATCCTGTTTACTGCGCTTTGTCACACATGGCGTTAAACAGTTTTGTACATTAAAATATTGCATAAATCAATTGTAGTTATGTTACTTTCAGATAAATCAAGCGATAAAGTTCTCCATTGTATAATAGCGAGAACTGTAAATAGCGTGGGCGTCAAGCATGGCTGGCTACACCGCGTTCTTTGCGTCCACTGGGTAAAGAGAGACAACTCTCGATAATGAGCTTACTGAGTGACCTAGTTTACAAGTAAAGCGTTTTAATGTTACACTATGCAAATCATAGACCCATGATCGTCTACAATTCTGTTGATTTGCTTTTAAAAAAAAATCTTCTAAAACTTTTTGAACAGGTCAGCGCCACTAGCCTAATGTTATGCGATCAATGACGCGCATTATTATGAAACAGTGCAATTTGTTCGATAATTTTTCTTGATAATACGTTACGGACCACGGACTTCGATAGTATAATTCCGTGGTTTGACTAAATCCACGGACTTAGATCTAATCTAATTCCGTGCTAAATCGAAGCAGATAGTAGGCCTTTTACGATGGGGTATTCCGTAACACAGAAAGGTAGAGTTCTACTCTTAAAATGCCCAAATCTTATAAACTGTAGCTGCAGACGTAAATCACAGAATTAGAGAAGTCCATGCTTAAATATCTCGATCTGGTTTAGAAGTAGATGTTCCGCAGTCGACATGTTTTAAAATTAATTCAGATATAATGTAGATCTATATACTGTGTCCTAGCATCAGGTCACGGTTAGTAGGGTGTCAGTTAAGCTGCAAAAACACCCATGGACATTTTCGCAAGTTGTAACTGTGCATGACCGTGACAAATTAACTGTTTTCAAGTTGGTACATATCTACTGTACTTACCTGTGTGTTGTGCTATGATGTCCGATTGAAAGTTTTCGTCATCAAAGTACCGCCGTCTTCCAGTATTCAACTGAAAATAAACTGCTCACATCCTAGCTGTCCTTTTGCCGCTCTTCCCATCATGTGAGTTGAGAAAGTCAGTGGCATGCGCAGAAGACTTCACATTCGTGCTAGCTTGTCAGCGCAGGTAAGGTCGTTGACCAACGACGCCAACAGCTGCGGACTGTCAAACTGGTACAGATTCTGGCGAGAGGATTGGTGGTAGGGGTTTGTAAAAGCATGCAGGGCCGACCTGAGAATTTGTAACAGCTATATTTGGACCTAAACTACGGTGTTCAGAGTTTAGGGGTTTCGATCAACTTTCGGGGGAAATGTCACCACAATTATGACAAATACAAGCATCGGGGTGTCATTTTACCTAAAATTGATCTTAACCCCTTAAACGTGTAAAATTACCTGAACACCTTAGTTTAGGTCCAAATATAGCTGTAACAACTAACAAACTCTCAGGTCCCTGTGAGTAAAGTAGGTACACATATGTTCACTGTTCGTGTATCTCGATAAGGAATGTGCGTTCTAGCAATAAAGACACTACGTACACGATGGAATTTTATCCTGACAATTAAACTGAAATGATAGAAATATGACTTTAACTTTATATAAAACGTGACAGAAACGGATTTACTTGAAATAGTTCTACAGGCTAATGGAATTTGGAAACTGAGCAGCCACTGCAAACAAAGCGTTGTAGTAACCCCTTGTGATACAATGAATTAGGCAATCAAATAATTTTGTCAGAAAAATGGCCCAAACGAAGGTTTATCTTATTTTATATTATTCATTTTATTTAATTTAACCAATTTATGTTTGATAGCTGGTTTGTTCTCCGATAAAATGGATCTATACTTCTATATACATATAAAAGACATGATTTCTGTCTATTCGGAGAAAATTACAACCAGGCTAACTAAAGTACATTATAAAATTGCCAAAATGTTGTATCGTTCTCATAGCATTAAAAAACAAAAGAACTTTGTATAATTAGAATGCATTCTCAAGTTGAAGACCATAGAATCTATTAAGATTTATTGTTTTGAATAAAATACTTCTAGTACGTTTCAAAATTAACATTGCATTTTTTTTTAAAGTTTTGTATTTAAATTTTGCATTTATGTGTTACTGCATTCTCGATTTACTCCTGGGCCCGTATTCATGAAACCGTTCTCATGCTCAAGCCTGGATTTTGTGCTCAAGCCTTATTTCTTCTTCTTGTTATAACTTAATAAATAAAACTTATTTTGCCAATGATTTAGACACATTTTGAAGATACTTGTAACCGAATACTGTTTTCATTATTTACATTTGACATTTTGATCGTTTGACATGATCTAAGCGAGTTACAAGAAAGTTGGTTTGAGTACAGAGGTCTTGATTGAGCATGATAATGGTTTCATGAATACGAGCCAAAAGGTTACGTGACGCTCACTTACGCTCTTTGCGGAGGGCGGATGGTGTTACTGATGGTTCTTACAAGATATTACCAGCTATAGAATGCGATTTTTTTAATAGCTCACGTTAACCAATACTTCAAATGATTCTGTACAATATACATTTGTTGTTAACTCGACAAAACCCCAAGTATTTTAATATGATGTAAAAATAATTGAGATGTAAATGGAACATAGGAGTCTTGAATCTAATTGTAACATTTTATATATATTTTTCTACAGCATCCAGCTTTTCAACTTACTTTATTTAATAAAAACTGTTTAAACTGAAGTATTAAATACAACGTTAATGAATTGAGAAGGCAAGATAACTATCCAATTTATGGTCGTTTATTTGTTAGTGCATGATAATCATTATAAGCATATAAAACACTCAACAAATTGTTTGTTTTAACATATTTTTAATGTGATAACATTAGGATAGATAATATTAACAAGTTATTAATCCTGTTGTTGACTGACTCTGTGTCCCATTAAACAGTAGCAAATGATAAAAGTATGCTTAACTATAAATGTGCATGTAACCACACGCTCAGTTTTTTAAAGAAAAAAAAAAAACGTTTTTTCAAAATAACGAGTTAAGGAATTTACGTGAGTTATGGAACGTCCATTAAACTGATGCAAAAACGTGTCTACCTGCACATAAAATGAATCTGACGTCATAGACATAATTATATAATTTACAGCGTACCAGACAAAGTCATGTACACAATCACACAAACACGCGCGTGTTGGTCGAGTAATTGACAAAACTTCTATTATAAATTGTCTTTATTTTTGAACTTTAACTTTGTGAGCTTTGACCTTTTGCCCGAGAAAATTGTCTTGGTTTAATTCAGTGATCTGCTCTTCGTGCTGATATTGTGCCATTTCTCAGGGTCTCCCTGGCCTTTCTCACTTAGCAGCAACTTTTAAACAGTAAAGAGACAAAGTCCGTCACCTTAACACCTCGTAGTAAACCCTGTAACACATAAAGTCACGTGTTAGACATGTCTACCTGACTATGAGCACCAAATGTAACTGTAGGTTGGCGGGTAGCAGTCGAGAACGAGTCGACATAATCTTGTTCAGAGAGTCGAATCTTTGCAAGAATCTGACGTGCATCATCCGTCATGTCCTCCAACTTATTTTTTTGAAACTTGATAGATTGTCCTCTAAACACCAGCAAACATCCTAAACCTAAGGATTCGAGTTTTTCGAAGAACTTTGTAGCTGCCCAGGCAGGATGTGTTGTCCTTGGTGATGACACGCGCTGCTCAAGTGGTACCGGCGGGAACAAGCGGTACTGACAAGCATGAGACGCAGTGACAACCCGCCCTTTGGATGTTAATAACTTCCGAATCTTTTGACAACATTTAAATAGGAATTCGCCATCCGGCATTCTGTAAAGATTGCTGGAATACCTGTTGTTCAGTTTAGCTTTATTTGCGAATATCTGCCTGGGCATCGGTCTATAACTAGACTGTGGACTACGTCCCGAGTTTGAACTTGACGCTCCAGCGCTAGATTGCGTCTGGTCATGTGCCAAAAGATTCAAATTATGAATGGACACTGGCACGGGAGGTTGGTTGTCGAAGTTCTGTTGTGAATACCCGCTCGTGGCAGTGACAAGTGACGTATTTCCGGTGATGTTCGTCGCAAGCATATTACTGATCTGTCCCACGTCCATCTGTTGATCAGGAAACACCGGTCCACCAGAGGGCGCCACAATGTTGTGTGACCTCGGGGCTGTATACGACGTAGTATAACCGTCACGGAGAATCATGATATCGTTACTAGAAGGTACGTACGGTTCAGACCTGATGTCAGAAATCTGGAAGTCTATAGAGCTGGACGGCACGTTAGATAGGTCGATCTTGCTCACAGTTGCAGTTCGTGGAATATCGTCGTCGTTGTCATATTCTTCTCTGTCCTCTATTTCGATGATGTCCTTTGTATCCATCTCCTCGCTAACAATACATGACGTCGTTACTTTGAAGTTCTTGGAATCTGCGGATTCAAACTCTTCATCCGGCGCAGTCTCCATCTGTGATTGGTGCGCATGTGTCATTCTATTTTTGGTGTGTTCATCTTTTGGTGGATCTAGTAACAACGCGATCTTCTGACGAAGAATGCCAAGAACTAAAGAGTAGGCTTTCCGAACTGTGTCCTGGTCAATTATCTTCGGAGGAAGAAAAGAACCACGGTTGACCATCGCTAAGCCATTTTGCAGCGCTATTAGTACGGCACATAATCTGACCACGTGACCGGAAGCAAAGTTCACTGACCCTCGACATCGTTCGTAATCCACGTATCGTTCTTTGATGTTCCGGATGTCATCAAAACACCTGAAATTGTACGAATTACTATGAGTAACTATTTGATGGAACATCGCCTACAAATCGTTAGTAAACTCGAATATAGATCATTAGTAACATCGCCCCAGCCAATTAAATTACAAGTTAATTATGGGACATTGACGCATACAAAATATTCGCAGCCTGTAGTCAGAACCGGATACATCTACCGTGCACCTAGGGCTACACAAGAACAAGTGATTTATGCGAAATCTACTAAACAACATTGTTTAGAATACCTACCGATTTCTTTCCCAATTCTCGGGCAAAATACAGCGTGTGCATTGCAAAAGATAATGTACGCAATCTAGCGTTACAGAGTGTACAATAGATGTACATACCTATACATTATACTAGACACTAAGTATATTATACGTTCAGTTTACTTGATATTAAGCCTAGGTATCCTTTATATAAAATCTACAAGGTACTTGCAATGTGTTATAGAGTCATTTGAATGAAAAACAGATGATATTAAGTTATTTGAAATTAGTTACAAATGTATATACTACAATTATGTATATAAAATATTACTTGATATTATGTATAAAAGTTACACGTGTATTAATATTTAGCATACTATACATTTAGTAAACTTGGTATAAAGTGTACTTTAACTTAACAGATTGTTACTAAAGATACACTGTATGTACATACTTCTGTAGTTCTGTTTGTCCGTCCGGGCTGAATGTGTAGGTGATCGTTTGAACCTGATGAAGGTTACGGACTGACGATAGGACCGACTGCAATGACGGTGAGTTGTGTGACATCTCCTCACTCTTGTCCAAGGACGGACACCAGTCGGGCGCGCATAGCAACAGTGCTCTCTCCAGCAGTCCCTCATTATCACATTGGTCAAAAATGGCGGGAAGATCCAACGCTTGAACGTTTGCAGAAAAGTTTATATATTTGTTTTGAATGTAGTTTTGACAGCCTTGGTTTGTCTCCGGGGAATCTGGACCATCATATAATCGTCTAAAAATGCCGTAGTCCCAAGCCTTCCGTTCTGTTTCAATTTCATTGCGTGAAATCCACGACCCAAGATCGTCTAATACCATGTACACAGAACATGGGGCATCTTTGTGATCTGTGGAAATATCCTGTTCCGACTGAAACAGACGTTTGATATTCTGTTCATCAATAATCTGCCTAGGGACAGACTGATCATTATTGACACTATTCAGGGCCCCGATCTCTTGTTCAAGTTTTAGATTTTCACTTAACACTTTTCTAAAGACTGTGGATTTCCTCTCGCCACGTCTAGCTGCTACGACTGTCCACAGTACAGGGGTCTCTTGCCAGTGTTGACCCACGTGTATGACCGTGTTAGGTCCCATACAGCTAGCCACCGCGGTCAGTAGGGGACAAAGCAGCAAGTCCTTAGCACAGCTCAAAATAGCGGCATGCCCACACACAAATCGGTCCACGTCGGTACCAAGAATTTCACTCCAGTTGACTCGAATTCTCTGTGCGTTTCTAAAACGGTCTAAATAGTTCCTGTTAGTCGAGCTTTCAGCGGCCGCCATTGTTCCTTGTAGCAGCTATACACTATTCCAGCATAGCGCTATATACACATGCGACCGATTGAATGCGAGTAAGATGGCGGATGTGTTCACAAAACGAGATTGACTTTAGCCACCGCACTGCTACATCATCAGATTATGTTAGTAAACAAGTTTTATGCTGCTAAGTCCAGGTAAAAGTTTCACGTGATCAATGACTAGAACGCAGACACAAAAGCTTTCCTCTGAAGACCGCTACACAAAGCTCGCTCGTCCTACAAGTCGTCTGCTAATGGCGGCAGCGTGCTAATTTTAGACCTATCCGCATTCAGTTGTGTCGCTCGATCCGAGCTATTGCAGCTATCGGCCTAGCATGAGGCGCCCGTGGGGAATGCAATTATAAAGATAACGCTAATTAGCGTGGTGTAGTGCCTTATTATTTCCTATACCAGAGGCGAAACTGGAACACCTTTATCGTTGTAGAGCGTATGAGTTGGCGATAGGATATACATACATACTAGCTACTTATGTGTATAAATCTCTGCCGGACGAATAAAGGCAGGTTGTCGATATGTATGCATTTATATAGTGTCACGGACTGAGGTAATCTTATAACGTAACAATCGGTGAGAAGTGTGCTTCAGCCTTGTCGCCAGGTCCAAGGGTACAAATTGTTTTACTTTAGACAACAGGGCAGTTCAGTAAAACATTGTTCCCTGTAGTCTGTGTGCTAAATTACTGGTCATAGGCCTGCATTGAGATCACGTTTAGGTAGATAAGACTATCCGATACTGGAACGTAGAGTAATTGAATGGCTCAATTATTCAACGATGAACATACAAAAATATCTATTGAATGTCGCTTACATGATAATGATGCACCCATCTAATCAAATCACTTTGTTTTAACGGCTACAGTGAGTGTTTTTGTGTTTATAGATTCGCAGTTTGCCTAGCTTTTTAAAGACACAAGAAGCGTTATTCATACAAACCTGAGATACAAGGAGCTTACAAGTATTTCCTCGGCAAAAAATAATGTATAAGTATATATACAGATGGATTGGAGACGTCCACGGGTGGGCAATAGCCAATGATAATTGATATTGTGAAATAGACATCTGTGCACGTGGTATGACTCTATAAATTACATGTATCTAGATAGCAACACAATCTTAAATAATTTGCTGTGAGGCCCTGCAGAGTGGCCAGGGGATGCGAGAGCTGACTGATGTATGTCTGTTTCATTTCCAAACATACATAATCCCTGCAAGTGATGTCAACTCAAGTTGCAGACGACATGACCACGTACCTTCATCAACTGTTATTTTCGATCAAGTTGCTGTCCAGCATCTCCAAAATGCTCTGCATGACCTTACAGTTTACAAAAACGCAGAAGATTACATGATGTCGAAGGACACATACTACATTAAAAGTGTCAACAATACCTGCCTCATCTACCTGGATAAAAGGATTCATTATAAAAAATCTTATGTACCAGCTGAGAATAGATATCGCTGTTTTGGACTGGAATGAGCATGTAGGAAGAGGACATACCTCCATCTATAGGAATGTGCGTGTACAGCACAATAGGCGTCAGTCAGGCAAGAAAGCATATGTTTCTAAAACTTATAACTTTGTTGTTGATATGTGGGAGCACATACTCGACTACCTGCGTGTAGAAAATGACTTGCTTGAAAATCAAATGAGTGACAATGAAGAGGAGGAAGAGGATATGATCGACGAAAGTGATGATAGCGACGATGACAAGTAATTAGACATGTAAAGTGACAAAAGTGTCGCGGAAATATCAGAAAACACAAAAGAAATGTTATAATGTGACGTAGTTCCATTCCTAAAACTCTTGTTGTTTGTTTTTCAAAACATTTGAAAAACACGGGAACACTGGATTGCATACCTACATTTCAAATACGGAAACACTGTTGAACGAATAATTGTGATTTCGAAGATTTGATGTTTATTCAGTTGAAACATATATGTAACAGTGATTTGTATTTCGAGTGTGGAATTTATATGTTAATCATTGATTCTGGTGATATTTTTTTTTTTTGTCTCAACAGCAATAATATACGCTTTAACGATATAAATACCAGATATTATTTCACTAAAAGTGTAATATAAATATTGTATAGAAAAAAATAAGACATTATTATTATTTCCATATCATGCTGCATGAAAATGTTGTATGTATGCTTTTCAATCATACTTTCTATAAGAGACATATACATACATCTACAATACATAATGTATGGAAAGTCAATTATGGAATAAATAATTTAAGGTGTTATATAATGTATACCGCTACTAATTCTATATATGTCTCTATTCATACAATAATATTGTCATATATGACTTTAAATACATTTATTCCATTTAATGCTCAAGTAAATGTGACTATTTCATAATATGAACAATTTGTTCATGTATTTTCTTATATAGTAGGAAGTATAGGCTCACACCATTCATGACTGGTCACAGCACATTCATGATCACTTATAGACACAGACACACGTGTGCTGCCAACAAAACTAGACCTTAGGGAGCTAGCTGGCTCTGTAGCCTTGCCCGGACAAAATTAATTGATACTGTCAATGTCCCAGATAACAACAACATACACACATTGCATTGAATCTCGGCCTTTAACGGAGTCAATCACATGTACACTGTAGTGATGGGCTAGCCGGTATTCATGTTACGTATTGTACCTCTCTCAGATGACCAGTCGGGTCAGTGTGCTGTGCTCTATATACTGTCCCTGGCTGTGCGTATTTCAGTTGTTATGAGGTGAGATTGACTGGCTTACCCGATTTATCTTCCTGGTTAAATACTTATGATACTAGTTTGGAACAAATTTCAGATTACTAACCTCCTGTGATAATGTATATTCTATAATGGACATCAATACAAAACTAATATTAGGATTAAACTTGCTATTTCAAAGATTTCAACTTCGCGACAAGAAAACACACACACTATTTGGAAAATATAGGAGAAATGGAAAAAAAATTACTGGACCATATTGATTTTTTTTGTCTCCGTTGGTAATACCAGATACGTTATAAAGCGAGTATATACGTCCCTGGTAACACATACAAATGAATAAAACTCAATTTAACGTGTACGTATACGCTTATACGAAATTACCATTCTTTTCAGAGGAATTAAATTAGATGCAGATATTGTATTTGGTTAGAGTAGAGCTTGAATAAGCTTATACCCTGTTTTATCACAGGAAATGTTACCGTGGATGAGAAAAAAATGATGCACTTATAGAGAGATTTCATGTGTTCATATTTTGAGAAGAAAAAATAAAATCCGGAATTAAAATATCAGTCTGGCGATTCTAAATGTAGTATTTATCAATTTACCGGAAGTAAGATGGACGCAATCTGCCGCTTATTTTGACTTTTGCAGAATGAGGAGCGATGTGTATTTCTTTAGTGGCACTGTTTGTGGAATTTTTGCCATATCTGTGCGTGGTGACTGTGCCAATCTACGGCTCATTTTGTGGAGTTGATCTTATTTTACGCGTGTCGTTCCTTCTGTATGCATATGTCCTATGCAGCGAGTTCGTGCCAGGTGTTTTGGTAAGGACCTGTTAGACCTCATGTTGGCCATCATTTGGCAAATAAAACATGTCAGCTCTTCTCAACAAAATAGGTTTATTTAAGCGTTACACAGACAGATAAACCTGCTGCTTTTAAAACTACAAACTACTGCTATGCAGCTACTGCCCAAAACTCGTTTTGTTATTTTACACGCATTTTCGACACTTGGTCCTTTTTATTTTGTGTGTCACTGTTTTAAAATAAGGTTCAACAAGCCCCCCTAAATGATTGCATAGTCACCCAAAATTTTGATATAATGTAACATATGCATCACATTTACATATAAATAATATTCAACAGTATGCAACACAATCTGATAATGCAAACAAATTCTAGACGTTTCAGTACCTACATTGCAATAGGATGTTTCAGTAATTTTGTGAAGACCAAAAATGCTGGAGAATCTTAAAATATGAAATTGGCAACACACAGGACACAAAATGCATTTTTAAAAATTTCAAACTTTGTCAAAGTGCTGAAAATCAATAAAAAATATTAAAAATAACATTTAACATTTAGTACCAAAACAATTCAGTACCAAATCATCAGTACCGTATGCATGTATTATGATTACATGTATTCTATCTCAGATAGCCATCTAGTGTTTATTAAACTACTTGATTTTTCTGAAGCAGACGACAACAGACCCAACTTGTGGGCAGATCTACAAATGTAGGTGGGAGCCTTTTTTCCTGCTAGGGTTTTGTTTTGGCCAAAGTATCAACATTTTGACTCAAAACCTATATTCAAAATATGCAACAACAGTATAAACGCTGTTGGTAAAAAATAAATTAGAAAATGCTCATGTACTGTATCTGCATATACCGGGTAATAGCTATAGTTCATTTTGATTAAGAAACACCAAGGTAATGAAATGTAAAAATGTGAAAAAATTGATTCATTGCTGTTATAGACTGGTTTATTTACTACTTTTATTTAAAAGCACATTAAAATATGCTGACATCCACATGATCATGCTTTTGAAAAAATGGTTCCTGCCTAATGAATTAACATTCTGCTTTCCTCATTTCATAACTAAATAATTGTCAGAAGAAACATTTGATTGGAGTGACAAAGCTAACTGTCAGCAGTCAGGGTTTCATCATATCACAAAGGCACCCCCATTTTTAGGTCCGTTTAACAGACCCATATCAAATTGAAAATGGGCCCATTTTGTACAGATTATTCAAATTCCCATCTCATTGAAACAAAAATTGTCCTCTTGTGTAATTTTTTAATCATAAAAAGTATATTAGACATTTTTTAAAGTGATTGTATGAAACAATTCAATATGCATTTCATTTTAAATTTTGGCTTTTGAAAAGAGAGGGAAATTGTATTTGATATCACTAATTTTAGACTTTGTCTGTTCAGCACCAGGTGGTGCCATACCTCAACATTGGGATCCTGGGCCTGATCTGTTTGTACCTACCAGTCAGCCTTATCCCTTATCCACTGGTATGGATTTACGACAAAGTCCTATGGATGTCCGAGTTTGGACTCCAGGTTGCTGAGATTGTGTTAGCCCTCAATTTTGTTATGCATGTCAGTCAGAGGGTGACGGAAAAAATTGAAGAGGAGCAATCTCCAGTTTTAAAGGTATAAGGTTTCACACATGTAACATAATGTCAATTGTCAGAAACCCACATTCGATTGTACATTGTACTATTGTACTATTGCGCACCTGCAGTAATCCCACTGCATGGTGTAAGAGGTGACTTAACGTGGACGTGGACGTGGGTCCCCAACACAATTGGGGGGGGGGGGGGGGGGGGGGGGGTCGTCGATGAATTATGTTTGGAGGAAACTGAAGAAACCAACATGGATCTGCTGTCCCCATGGCAACACGTGGGATAAAAACCTGCTAGAACAATCGAACATGGGTTTCCCACGATACATAATATCATACGCACGTCTTGTCATGATCAATAGTAATAAATCTTGTATTTTTAATGTCCATTGTAATAGTTCATCCTCGATCCATTATTGTATAAACTGTATTATAGATTAAGATATTTAATTTAGTCAGTTCAATTTTGCAATTTAAAAAAATAAAAAATATTCGTCCTTTTAAAAATAAACATGTTTAATACTGTATATAGGTGGCTGTTAATGTTGCGAGTCATTAATACATTCCTCAAGGGCTGCGTCTATAATTTGGAGATTTAATATTATATTAACATTTTGGAAATTATTGAAATTAATTTTGTATCAATATGATTTAACAAGAACAAGTACTCAAACATTGATTGTGATGTTTCCTAACTTGAAAAAATTAAAAAAAGCAGTATTTTCTCAAGGTTTGAAAAAAATGGGGGGCATTGGTTGTATTATAGTCAAAATATGTAAATTTATGGGAGATGTTCACAATTCCCCTATCTGGAGGAAACACTGAAATGGTATGATACAGTTAATGGTGAAAGGTTTTACATAAGTTCATTATATATAATTATATGGCCACAGGATAAAGAACATGCTTTGTTTCAGTTTGCACTGGTATGTTTCACATCACTGTGCTATGCCATGATGGCATCCTTTGGCTTGGCCATCTATAAGGAGGGCTCCTTGGTACAGTTATGGTAGGTAACAATTCTCAAATGTTGATGTATTACAGTACTTAACTTTTCAATAAATGTCCACGTTCATATTTCAAATAAAGACACAATTAATCAATCTTTATCTTTTGTCATTTACAATTATAACTGCCATTTTTGAATAGATAGTGTTACATAGTGTATTACAAATATTTTAAATAATAAATACATTCCTCACAGGCTGCTGTTCCTAGTATTGGTTTTGTGTCTGGCTGTACACAACATGATGTGGATGTCCCAGGAAGGTAAGAGGTCCAAGACCCCTGTTCCACCTGCCACGTACAACGCCCCTTCTCCATTGCCAAAATGTTACTCCCTTATTAGCAAAGTTCTCACTTTAAATAATCTGATGTGATTTTTACAGGAATGTGAAACCCTCTTCCCTCTCTCTCCACTACCCCTGCCTGTCTCCCATCAATTTTTTTTTTTGTTTCTCGCTCCAATCACATACCTGTCCCCTTTGCTTCGCCTCCAATTAATTTCTTGTCTCCATAATTATCCTTTTCTAACAAGTCCTGTGTGGGACAGGACATATTTCTGAACTTCAACAAGCAAGAGGTTTATGAATGGTGGATGGACCTATCAGTGGTCATTGTCTAGTCCAATTTCAAGGTACACTGTACTGTACGTGTACTTTCAATTTTATCAGAAAATACTGGGAGGGGGAATAAAAACACTGGCAGTGGACATCTTTCCCCACCCACTCTCCCAGGTAGACAAAAAGATGTAGATATCGCATAAAGAGAACCTTTGAGCTATGAGGAAGCTATTTGCTTGCCCTGATTTATGTATTGTCAGCTGAATGATTGAAGTCTAAATATATGAACATGTTATATATTAATAGGCTTTATACAATTCTTAGGTATCCTGTGTGATGCTGCCTTCTCGTGTTTGTAGGTATCCTGTGTGATGCTGCCTTCTCGTGTTTGTAGGTATCCTGTGTGATGCTGCCTTCTCGTGTCTGTAGGTATCCTGTGTGATGCTGTCTTCTTGTGTCTGTAGGTATCCTGTGTGATGCTGCCTTCTCGTGTTTGTAGGTATCCTGTGTGGTGCTGCCTTCTTGTGTTTGTAGGTATCCTGTGTGATGCTGCCTTCTCGTGTTTGTAGGTATCCTGTGTGATGCTGACTTCTCGTGTTTGTAGGTATCCTGTGTGATGCTGTCTTCTTGTGTCTGTAGGGATCCTGTGTGATGCTGCCTTCTCGTGTGTGTAGGTATCCTGTGTGATGCGGCCTTCTCGTGTTTGTAGGTATCCTGTGTGATGCGGCCTTCTCGTGTTTGTAGGTATCCTGTGTGATGCGGCCTTCTCGTGTTTGTAGGTATCCTGTGTGATGCGGCCTTCTCGTGTTTGTAGGTATCCTGTGTGATGCTGCCTTCTCGTGTTTGTGCTGTGTGGCAGTGCTGTATACCATGAAGGATGAAACCAACCTTATCAATCATCCCCTCAACACACCTGAAACCTGGTACAGGTAAGTTACAGGTTTCCTCATTATCTACCTGGTACAGGTAAGTTACAGATATCCTCATTATCTACCTGGTACAGGTAAGTTACAGGTTTCCTCATTATCTACCTGGTACTGGTACGTTACAGGTAACCTCATTATCTACCTGATACAGGTAAGTTACAGATATCCTCATTATCTACCTGGTACAGGTAAGTTACAGGTATCCTCATTATCTACCTGGTACAGGTATGTTACAGGTTTCCTCATTATCTACCTGGTACAGGTAAGTTACAGGTTTCCTCATTATCTACCTGGTACTGATATGTTACAGGTAACCTCATTATCTACCTGGTACAGGTAAAAACAGGTATCCTCATTATCTACCTGATACAGGTATGTTACAGATATCCTCATTATCTACCTGGTACTGGTATGATGCAGGTAACCTCATTATCTACCTGATACAGGTATGATACAGGTAACCTCATTATCTACCTGGTACTGGTAATAACAGGTATCCTCATTATCTACCTGATACATGTATGATACAGGTAACAGTAGACTTGATGATGGTCATTCGCATACACTGTCGATAATATGATAAAATGTTTTCATTCCATATGCTATACAGTGTATGAACCGAAGTTATCTTTTTGAATTGTTAGAGCATCTCCAAAACTAGAAACTTGTGGACTCATTTCAGAAATCTTACAACTGTGTTAGCCATCATCCCGGCGTTCTACCACCAGGTATCGAGGTAGCGCGCGCCATCACGGTAGGCTCGTAACAGCCATATCTCTTAATGGAGCAACATGGCGGCGTTGGGTTAGAAGCGTATGAAGGAGCTCCGGTAATTTATCCTGAGAATGCCTCTCTAGTAACCCCGGAAAGTCCCCAATATTGGACTGTGTGACGGTGAGATCATTTCTAACATAATGATAACATTATTTTGAAAAAATATTTTGAAATATCCCCTTTGCGGACCATAATAGCATTCATTACCTGTATACCTGAGGTACACACATGTACCTGAACGATACCTGTGTTGCACGTGCAGACTACTATACTCACCTATGTGACATGTATGTTAGTACTGGAGTTACACCCTGGAAAGCTGTGGTTTATTTATGAACGTTTATTCGTACATGTACATATACATGTTCATCTTTTTGTATAATACGGATTTTAATGTGCGTTTACTGTGTAAGAACGGTAAACTAACCAGTATGACCTTGAACTGTGTGCACGTGTAGCCCATGGGTAAGAAACGTAATAGATCTCATACGGACACGAGTACTGTAATGGCTATGGCACATAGAGATCTCTATGGTACCCCACATGGTAATGTGGCCGCCACGCAACCATGTTTCCAACCTGCCCCGCAGTACCCGCAGTACCCTATGCAAAGCTCGTGTATACCCCCCAGTTCTCCTGCGAATCCTCAGTTGATGTTCCCTCAGGCAACCTCGCCTACTCCTGACACCATTTCCCCACACTTCAGTGATCAAATTCTTCGAGACATATTTCAACGGTTAACTAAGCTGGATACACTGGATCAAATCATGTCTAGACTCAGTGTCATCGAGGGCAAGTTTAGCAGTATGGAGAGTTCGTTATCAGGCGTTAAACGTGAACTTAAAACACACAGTGAACAGCTCGAGGGTGCGGATTTCGACCATTCCATTCTTGAAGAGAGAGTCAGCAAAGTGGAACTTGAACGGGAGGAGGTACGGGAAGAAAATCGCCTACTGAAAGATCAAATACTCGAGATCCAAACACGATCGATGAAGGACAACCTGTTATTTGGAGGAATCCCAGATGTTGACCGTGATGAAGACACCGAGGCTGTTGTGAAGGAATTCATCAAGACGGAACTCGGTATTGAAGAGGAAATGCAGCTTCATGTTGCCCATAGGCTGAGGAAAAGATCCGATAATAAACCTAGGTCCATAGTAGCTAAATTCTCTAGCAGAAAAGATAGAGACAAAGTGTTGAAGGCTGCCCCAAAACTAGCGGGGAAAAGAGAATTCTCTGTATTTGAGCAATTCCCGCCGGAAATAAATGACAGGCGACGTTTACTCTATCCGGTGTTTAAGGAAGCCAAGAGGCATGGAAGGCACGCTCGCCTGCTAGGTGATAAACTCTACATTGACGGTAACCTTTACATCCCACCTCAGCATCATCATCCTAGTCATCCTCCCATAGGCCGAGATCATCCTCCTGATTCTCGCAGAGGACCTGGATGGCACTCATCGGCCCAAGGACGGCAGACAGCCACGCCCCCTAGTGGTCAGCATCAGTTCCGTAATGCTCGTCACGTGCCAAACCCCCGCAATGACAGTCGCCCCATGTAGGGAGACGCGACAAGAGGTCAACCCCGTGACATTGATAAAGACACTATCAAGTTTACTTTCCTTAATGTTTGCGGTATTAAGTCTAAGATACTTTTGCCTGAGTTTGAAGACTTAATCCTAGCACATGACATACTTATTTTTGCAGAGAGCAAGATTGATAATCTGGATCATTTACAACTACCGCCTGACTATGAATATTTTGCTAAATGTAGAACTAATGCATATAAAAAATCTGGTGGTATAGTAATTATTTTTAAGAAAACTCTCAAGTCGATGTTGACTTTTCCTAAAACTTTATCAGAATATGTATTGTGGGTAAATTTTTCAAAACACGTTGTGAACTCTGATCTAGATTTTCTACTGGGATGTGTTTATATACCTCCCGAAAATACTAAGTATGCATCCCCGGAAGCGTTCAATGAAATTGAAAGGGAGATGATAGAATTATCCCATCATGGTAACAAAGTCGCCATAGTCGGAGATTTTAATGCTAAAACCCAAGTTAGAGATGATTTTGTAGAACCAGATGATAACTTCATTCGTTCATTAAACTTAGATGAAAATGATGAGCTATACTCATATCTCTATGATATTGAAAAGTTGAAATTATATAATGTTCCTCTGCGAAGGGCTAGTCAATGTAAAGCTAAAGTTAATAATTATGGCAATAAATTGCTTGACTTCTGCAAGCAAAATAATATGTATATTGCCAATGGTCGGATTGGAAATGATGCACAAATAGGTAAAACTACATGTAGTGATGTCAGCGTTATAGATTATCTATTGCTGTCGTCAGATATGTTTCGGTATACAACAGATTTTGAAATCAAAGTTTTTGACCCACTCATATCAGATGTCCACTGTAGACTTGTATTTAGCCTTTGTAAATTAACTGATGAATGTATATATAATACCGAATGTCATGAAAATCGATATACAAAGTGGAAATCCTGTAAAGAACAAGATTTTGTAAAACATATACTAGATGATGAAAGAGGTAATCTCCATAGAATTAATGATAAATTAAATGAATTATTAAATAAACAACACGACAATGTAACCAATAACGAAATTAATGACATTGTAAACTCAATTAGTGAATTGTTCAAAGGCTCTGCTAAGCAGGTTTTTGGTAGTAACAATGCTTACAGGAAACGGAGGTTGAGATGTGATAATAAACCTTGGTTTAATAGGGAATGCCACTTAAACAGAGTTGAATTTAATAAAGCCAAGGCCTTATTTCACAAAGTAAATAATCCTATAAATAAAACTAATCTCAATAGAGCTAGTAAAGTTTATAGAAAAACATTGAATAAAAATTACAGAAATTATCAGGAGAAATTGTCAAGCGAGTTAAGAAATACTGCTAGAATGGATTCAAAAAAATTCTGGAATATTTTGAATAAATGTGACGGATCTGTAAAGAAAGGTAATGCTGATATATGTATTACTGAATTATATGAATACTTTAAGGATCTGAACAAGTCTGTTTATGATGATGACGATTTTGAGCTGGAAAATCCTGATAATAGTATTTTTGATGATTATCTGAATGGTGAAATTACCACTGATGAAATTAAATTTTCTTTAATCAATTTGAAGAATAGTAAAGCCTCTGGTATAGATCAAATCCTAAATGAATATCTAAAAAGTACAATGGATGTATTTTTACCAATTTATCAAAAAATATTTAACCTTATTCTGAATACTGCGTCTATACCAGATGTGTGGAAGATCGGTATTATAAAACCAGTATATAAAAACAAAGGCGATCCAAAAGATCCGGATAATTATAGAGCGATCACTTTAGTCTCGTGCCTTGGCAAAGTTTTCACTTCGGTTATTAATAATCGTTTAAATAAAATTTCTGACGAATTTGACCTGATAAGCAGTGCACAAGCTGGGTTTAGAAAGGGTCATTCTACAACCGATAACATGTTTGTATTGTATTCTTTAATCTCAATATATTTTTCATTAGGAAAAAAACTTTATTGTACGTTCATCGATTTTAGTAAGGCGTTCGATTCTGTATGGAGAGTTGGTCTGTGGAAAAAGCTCCAAAAAAGCAACATTACTGGAAAAATTTTCAATATTATTTATAAGCTATATGATAAAACCAAATCATGTGTTAAAAATGGATGTGAACAGTCGGATTTGTTCAATTGTGAGATCGGTTTAAAACAGGGCGAAAATTTATCGCCATTTTTGTTTGCAATTTATTTAAATGATTTAGAAACTTATCTTGTTGAAAAAAATGTAAATTGTCTTCAAACAATAGACAAATTATGTATTGATAACATTGGAGTGTATCTCAAACTATTCATTATCTTATATGCCGATGATACTGTCCTGTTTTCAGAAACACCAGATGGTTTACAGTTAGCTTTAAATGAATTTGAACAATACTGTAATACTTGGAAGTTAACTATCAATTCAGGAAAAACTAAAATTGTCATCTTTTCAAAAAGAAAATGTGCAAGAACTCCCCATTTTACATTATGTAACGTAGAATTAGAAATACTGGAAGGGTATACCTATCTAGGATTATTCTTTAATTTTAGTTGTAGCTTCTTTAAAGCAAGGAAAAAAATTGTTGAACAAGCACAGAAATCAGTGTTTGCTGTCTATAAGAAATTGAGAAACATATCTTTACCAGTTGATCTACAATTGAAGATATTTGATTCATTAATTATGCCAGTTCTTCTGTATTCATCAGAAATATGGGGTTTTGAAAACACAAATATTATAGAAAAAATCCATCTTCAATTTTGTAAATATATACTAAATGTAAGAAAAAGTACACCAAATTTCATTGTTTATGGTGAGCTTGGAAGATACCCACTAGACATCGAAATTAAATGTAGAATAATAGTATTCTGGCATAAGTTGATTACCTCTAGTAAGTTATCAAGTACTATTTATAAGCTTATGTATACATTACATGAAAATGGAACTATGTTATTTAAATGGCTCGCATATGTTAAAGATATTTTTTCTCAAACTGGCCTGAACTATGTGTGGTACTATCAATCTACATGTTCTTTTTCAAAAGACGAAATTAAGAGGCTTGTGAAAAGTAGACTGAAGGATCAATTTATACAGAAATGGTTTGATAATATTCTTAACTCCTCTAGAGGACAAACATATTCAATATTAAAGACAAAGTTTGAACAAGAAAAATATTTAATTAAACTTAATACAAATGATAGGAAAATAATGTGTAAATTCCGTTCTTGCAATATGCATTTACCCATAGAAAAAGGAAGATGGTTAGGTATTCCTCGTCAAGAAAGAACCTGTACATTATGTAATTTGTACATTGGAGATGAATTTCATTACTTATTTATATGTGAAAGTGTTTTAGTTAAATGTCTAAGAGAGAAATATATACCAAAATATTATTTCACTTATCCAAGTCAATTAAAAATGCAAGGATTGTTTAATATATTTAATGTAAAAATTCACACAAAACTTTGTAAATTCATAGAAAAGCTTGAAAAAATATTAACTTAATTTCTGTACTATTTCTGTACTTCTATATGTATCTATGCTGTGTACAATGTTGTAATTGTGTACATCACACGCCATGTATCATACTTACTATATGTATGTGACCTCTTGTTACACACGTAAGTGTGTCGGAGTGAATAAATAAAAACTTAAAACTTGGTAACCTCATTATCTACCTGGTACAGGTATGATTCAGGTAACCTCATTATCTACCTGGTACAGGTAATAACCGGTATCCTCAATATCTACCTGGTACTGGTATGATACAGGTAACCTCAGTATCTACCTGGTACAGGTAATAACAGGTATCCTCATTATCTACCTGATACAGGTATGTTACAGATATCCTCATTATCTACCTGGTACAGGTAGGTTACAGGTTTCCTCATTATCTACCTGATACAGGTATGTTACAGATATCCTCATTATCTACCTGATACAGGTTTGTTACAGGTATCCATATTATCTACCTGGTATAGGTAAGTTACAGGTATTCTCATTATCTACCTGGTACAGGTAATAACAGGTATCCTCGTTATCTACCTTGTACAGGTAAGTTACAGGTTTCCTCATTATCTACCTGGTACTGGTATGATACAGGTAACCTCATTATCTACCTGGTACAGGTAAAAACAGGTATCCTCACTATCTACCTGATACAGGTAATTTACAGATATCCTCATTGTTAAGAGTGAAATAATGACCTGAAAGTCAAGTGGTAAATTAATTGCTGTTTCAGTTATCTTTCAATTATAGGCTGTCTTGTTACCCAGGGCAGGGAGATATACATTATACAGCTGTCAGGGCACCTGGCTTGGTGGCCGTTTTATTACCTTGTCTTGTTAAATTATTTAATAAAATTTTCAAATCTAGTAACTATCCTTCCATATGGTCAATAGGTAATAATAAAAAGGGGGATAAGAATGACACAAATAATTATAGAGGAATTACTGTAATTAGTTCAAAGTCGTTTAGCCAAAATATTTACAGCAACCTTAAAAAGTCGACTTATTGAATTTGATACCGCTTATTCTAAAATAAGTGACGCTCAATTTGGTTTCAGAAAGCATATGTCAACCCAAAGATGCTGTGTTTGTCTTGCAATCGTTAATTAATAGAACTTTAAAGAAGAAAAAGAAGCTATATTGTTGTTTCATAGACTATAAGAAAGCTTTCGATTTTGTTAACAGGCAGAATTTGAGGTTTAGACTAATTAAGAAAGGAGTAGTTATGTTGATGATGTCTAAGAGTGTTTTAGACTAAGATATGTGTTCCTATATTTAACAGGTATGACAAGAGGCAGTCCCTAATCAGCATCGGAAGATACATCATCGGCAGCTCAATAGGTATACCATTACAATATATTAATGGTCCTATGGCCTGTAAAAAAAGTGCTTGAATTATATAATTTTATGGAAACATACCCAGTCGGCTGCCACTTTTGTAAGTTGAATTGCTAATTTGTGTAAAAACTTAGCTCAGCCTTGTGCTATTTACAAACAACCGTGAATTGTGAGGGTTGCCTATAATCAGGACTAGAAATTTATATTAAAATCCACTAGTCAGTCAGACTAGTCATTTCCAATTTCATGTGCAATTTACACTAACCTTATATTATTCAATATGATGATTAATATCAAATAAGAACAAGATAACTAACAGTTTTTAGAACCACTAGTCCAGCTGGAGAGTCCACTTGTCTCAGATTGATGGACTACCCTTATTGTCTAGCCCTGCATCACCAAAATGTTTGAATGTCATGGGAGGTGTTATTGTAATATTAAATTGATATAACTCTGTTGACTAGACAATGCTGGTCTTGCTCTCCAGTTCCTGATGAAGTTCCTGCAGCCGTTTTTCTTGGTCACCCTTGGTATTCGCCTGTACAGTATACTGTACATCACTGAGAAGGTTACCAAAAACTTCTTTGATAAGGTTAGAATTGTTTAAAATGTTCAATTGTTTTTTTTGTTACTTTGACAAGAACTATATTTACTCTATGTAATTGTGCGGTATGTAGAATGATTTATCTTGACAAGTTCAGAATAAGTTCATGCTCTTCAGATGTTAAAATATGCTTTGTGCATTCATTTAGGAAAATATATTTTCTCCCAATGATAAAAATGCATTTTTGAGTTTCAGATAAACTCCTTTAATGTTGCCATGTTACGATACTAGCATTCAGTGTGAGCTTAAATGACATAGTATTGTTGCTGATACTGTACGTGTGCACTGAATTGAAATTATTATTACTTTATGTACATGTATCAAAATTATTATTTTTCACCAAACCTGTTTTTTGTTATTTTCCTTTTTAAAGGTCACAATGATTTATAAGTAAGAAGTTCACAAATCATTTTGCTTTACATACATACTAGGGATTTAATGTGCATGTGTCCTAAAGCTGTATAAAATCTTGTCATCATGTTGTAGAGGTATTGTATGTAAATCATCCTTCTCTCACAGGAGGACTCCGTTGACGACTACTTCGATCAAGAGGCACATCTATCACCGTGGAGATCCCCCCTCACCATGAAGCTTGCTGTGATTTTTATGTTCACTCAGATGACTACAAACCTGTTTTACGCTAGTCAGGGGATTTCTTTTGCCAGATTCTATCCCCTTGAGTTCCTGCAAAACTTTTATCCAAGTGACATTGTTTTGGGCCGTGTGCTGCAGATTCTGGTAGTGAATGTGTTTTACATGTGGCGGCTGTACTGTGCAGAAGAGTGGGAATGGAGTGACTGGTTCTCCTCATAAGTCTTGGCCAGCCTGTTATCCCCCTTCCCTGTGACTTGGTTTATTCATAAGTCTTGGCCAGCCTGTTATCCCCCTCCCTGTGACTTGTTTTCTTTTTAAGTCTTGGCCTACCTGTTCTCTCACCTGTGACTGCTTATCCTGACCATCCAATTGTCTTCCCTATAAGTGCTTCTCTATTCAACCCCCACCACCCAGTTGTCTCCCCTGAGACTAATTCTTGTTTTATGTTACCTCCAATCTGTGATATCTCCCTGTATCTCCCATGTGACTTAGGACTCATTCATTAATCCAATTAAATGGCCTGACTGTCCAAAATATTCCATGATAAATGAATGCTGTTGGACAAACACATTATAGGCAGAACTCAGAATGCCCAGTTTTGGAGTTTTCTGAATCAGGAGACTATGTCCTTTTTTCTCCCATTTGCTACACATTTTGATAACAATTACTTAAAATTAGATGTGAATTGACCTTCTTTTATGCACAAATACTAGTATTAGTCAGTCATTTGGTTTTGTTTTAACACACCACACTGCACCACTCGTAATACAAGTATCAATATTTTTGTAACATCGGCCTTGTTCCAAATGCCTGTAGGAAGTTTTGTTGGTTCACCCTCGGATCATGAAACAATCTTAGACTTGTCCTTTTGCTCAACTAATCATGTATGATGTCACTTTTCATGACATTATTTATGATTGGTTCCATGTAAGTCAAAACTGAAGACAATTTTAGACTTAAGCTCGTTTCCTGATCTTGGTCCCGGAGCAATTTGAACGCTGCCTAGTTTTCCTCATTGATTTCCATCCAGTTATCTCCCCTTTAACTGTTTCCTTACAAATGTTGTAGGGCTCACCCAGTTATCTCCCCTGTAACTATTTTCCCTACAAATGGTGTAGGGCTCACCCAGTTATCTCCCCTGTAACTTTTTCCCTACAAATGTTGTAGGGCTCACCCAGTTATCTCCCCTGTAAACAGAAAACGAAGGGCGTATATAGCAAGCATTGACTTTGTCATGTGTGACCACTGAGTTACAGTTGTTCATTCTTAAATTCCATGGTTTTTATGCATGTTTACGCAACTGGAGATATTTTCTCTGTCAAATATTTGTCCTGTAAACTTGTAAACTTATGCAAGAGGTGTGAGTTATGATAATGTTTTGTTGCTTTGCTCAAATGTTTGCTTTATTTAGAAGTGTGAGTAGCTGTTTAAGGAGTGTGAACCATGCTGTCACAGACTTCTATAATAATAGTTTCATCTTCATTTCATCATTTACTTTTTTTTTATTATAATGAATCATTAGTTACTTTGATTTTAGTTTGGAATTCCAAAATTTTCTTAATACAGATGTAAGATGCATCTAAATTGTTATGTAAGTGTAGAGACAACTTAACAAAGTTAAAACTGCCTTTGAATTTGTTAAAAATTTAATCAATAGGAGTAAAACAAAAATGAAAAACTGCTCGATGTTAAACACACACTTGTTAAACAAAGAAACAGAAAAGTAAACCACATTAATTGATGTATTGGACTAAAAAAAACTCTTTTTATTGGTGTGTTGCAGTATCAGAAAGTTGCATGTAAGATATTTGTTTTCATCAGTGATCCGGCAGTTCAATTGGTTAGTTCCTCCTACTAGACTCTGAAGGTCCAAGTTTGAATCCTCAGCCTTGATACCCTTTTTGGTAGCAATCACCGTTTGATGGATGTACAAATCTTCACTATATACATCATGTACATGTTTACTCAGCCACACGTTTTCAGTGAGTAAAACAGTTTTGATATGCTTATTTCAAAGAGATTCCTGTATTTGACATCAGATAATTTTTTCACAGATATCCCCCATTTATGGACATGATTGTGAGAAAGATGTGGCTGTCAGTTTTTTCTCCAGTGTCTATTACATTTGTAGTTTCGTTGGACCCTGTTCATCCAGTGGTGAATCAAGAGGTTTTTTGGGGGCTTCAGGACCCCAACCTCCACCCCCACCCTGAGAATTTTCTTTAAAAATCATGCATTTTTACCATTTTCCTCAATTCTTTCTTACATTAAACACCCCCTGGAAATTTGGAACCTTCCTCGTGGTTAAAATCCTGAAATACGGGACCTGACAATTTAAATACTAGCAGTCCTAGACTTGGTTGTCTTCCATTACATTCATTGTTTATTCTCATTATAGTAAGGTATATGTAGTAAAGCTGTGCACTTTTTGCATAATCAATTAACAAAACTCATTAACCCAAATACATTCCTTCACAATCTCACGACTCCTGACTTGTCGTTTGAAAATAAACGATATCAACCATCAACAATGTCATCAAGATTGATGGCAGAATTTGAAATTAGTTTCAAAACTTGTGTGCTAATTATCAAACTCATTAGGTAATTTTCAAAGTTTATAACGAAATGCTTGCTAAAATGTATTACTATTATCTTTTTATTGAGTTTTATGAACTCAAGTTCGATAAAAACCGGGATATCTGATAATCACTCGTTTTGGAACTTCTATTTATAAAGATGGTGCTATGAAACAAATGATACTGGCCTCCTACCTAGCAAATGTATGTGTTGGAGTTATTCCCCTTCCCACGCGAATGGTGCTGATGATTAGGAAACGTAGCGCAGAGGTTGGTTGCAAAGTTCGATCTACGGAGATTGCACCGCCGATGATGATCATCTCAGGTATGATGCCAATAAGTGCCTTATTGTATTTACTTGCGTGTCAGATTGCTGAGAGTTTTATTTAGACAGATCAAACTGGACAATAACATTGTGCCGTCTTTGACCTTATAATGACTTGAGTTGGTGTCTTATCAAAACAAACCAGACCGTGTGATGTTGGATAATCAATATTTTGATATGATCAATATACATACATTGTATGCATTTATTTTAACATAAATTGTTTTATGTAAATATTTTGTAATTAAAAAACAATTTTTGGTCAGAATTTTGTGGGTTTTTTTGTGTCTATGTTTTATTTAACTAGTTCGTGTTATTTTTTCGCTATTTATTTTATATTGTTAAAGAATGAAATGTATAAAATGTTTCTTGATTTTGAAAATATCTTAACCATAATTACGAATGGCAGATAAACAGGATTATGTGTGCATTAAAAAGTGTGATCAGTACTAGTTTCGCTACTTTTGGAATGACGAACAAAAAAAGGCGTGCACTGTACGATCATGTGATACTTTATGAGACTTCAGGAAAAAATATATATATATATGGAAAATAAACTTAGCATGCATAAATTCCTTAAAATAACCTCTGTATGCATAAAACCATTACTTAAAAATCAAAATTTACAATTACTTTTTTGGCCCACCGTCATGAAATGGTTGGCTATTGAAATGGCCCTTCGTCCGTCAGTCCTAAAACAATTTGAATTATCGTTATTGTACAGGGAACATTCAAATGGGGACATTTTCTGCAATGCCGATTTCAGATAGGGCACAGTTAGTTAATTTCAAACTGTATTACAGTATTGTATTTCAAGAAGTCTACGAAATTGAAACAGATGGGAGAGCGAACTTAATAAATTCCTGTCTACCCAGGGAAACAGACGTTCTAGAAGACTGATTTCAGATGGAGAACATTTATATATTCTACAAGGTCGATTTTAGATAAGGATACATTCTACGATTTCGATTTCAGCTTGGGACCATTTGATTCAATACGGGATTTATTTAGATAGGCACCCTTAACCCCCAATATCGATCTTAGATAGTTGACATTCGGTTGGGGACATCCTATAAGGTGTATTTCTGCGGGGGAACATTTGGTTAGGGACATCTTACAAGGTGTATTTCTGCGGGAGAAAATTTGGTTAGGGACATCTTACAAGGTGAATTTCTGCGGGGAACACTTGGTTAGGGACATCTTACAAGGTGTATTTCTGCGGGGGAACATTTGATAAGAGACATCTTACGAGGTGTATTTCTGCGGGGGAACATTTGGTTAGGGACATCTTACAAGGTGTATTTCTGCGGGGGACATTCGGTTAGGGACATCTTACCAGGTTTATTTCTGCGGGGAACATTTGGTTAGGGGCATCTTACAAGGTGTATTTCTGCGGGGGACATTCGGTTAGGGACATCTTACAAGGAGTATTTCTGCGGGGGAACATTTGATCAGAGACATCTTACGAGGTGTATTTCTGCGGGGAACATTCGGTTAGGGACATCTTACAAGGTGTATTTCTGCGGGAGAAAATTTGGTTAGGGACATCTTACAAGGTGTATTTCTGGGGGAGCATTTGGTTAGGGACATCTTACAAGGTGTATTTCTGCGGGGGACATTCGGTTAGGGACATCTTACATGGTGTAGATCTGCGGGGGACATTTGGTTTGGAGCAAACTCTAGAATAATGATCTAGGCAAGGATACAACTAGATAGTGACAAACTCCACGAGGACGATTCCAGCTAGGGACACATTCTACAATAAAAAAAGTTTATATAACCCTGTACGTTATTGTCGGAAAGTACATAGTGTTATATATATACTTATACCGACACATAGTGTAATATATATACTTATACCGACACATAGTGTTATATATATACTTATACCGACACATAGTGTTATATATATACTGATACCGACACATAGTGTAATATATATACTTATACCGACACATAGTGTAATATATATACTTATACCGACACATAGTGTGTTATATATATACTTATACCGACACATAGTGTAATATATATACTTATACCGACACATAGTGTTATATGTATACTTATACCGACACATAGTGTTATATATATACTGATACCGACACATAGTGTAATATATATACATATACCGACACATAGTGTAATATATATACTTATACCGACACATAGTGTTATATATATACTTATACCGACACATAGTGTAATATATATACTTATACCGACACATAGTGTTATATATATACTTATACCGACACATAGTGTAATATATATACTTATACCGACACATAGTGTTATATGTATACTTATACCGACACATAGTGTTATATATATACTTATACCGACACATAGTGTAATATATATACTTATACCGACACATAGTGTTATATATATACTTATACCGACACATAGTGTAATATATATACTTATACCGACACATAGTGTTATATATATACTTATACCGACACATAGTGTAATATATATACTTATACCGACACATAGTGTTATATATATACTTATACCGACACATAGTGTAATATATATACTTATACCGACACATAGTGTTATATATATACTTATACCGACACATAGTGTAATATATATACTTATACCGACACATAGTGTTATATATATACTTATACCGACACATAGTGTAATATATATACTTATACCGACACATAGTGTTATATATATACTTATACCGACACATAGTGTAATATATATACTTATACCGACACATAGTGTTATATATATACTTATACCGACACATAGTGTAATATATATACTTATACCGACACATAGTGTTATATATATACTTATACCGACACATAGTGTAATATATATACTTATACCGACACATAGTGTTATATATATACTTATACCGACACATAGTGTTATATATATACTTATACCGACACATAGTGTTATATATATACTTATACCGACACATAGTGTTATATATATACTTATACCGACACATAGTGTTATATATATACTTATACCGACACATAGTGTTATATATATACTTATACCGACACATAGTGTTATATATATACTTATACCGACACATAGTGTTATATATATACTTATACCGACACATAGTGTAATATATATACTTATACCGACACATAGTGTTATATATATACTTATACCGACACATAGTGTTATATATATACTTATACCGACACATAGTGTTATATATATACTTATACCGACACATAGTGTTATATATATACTTATACCGACACATAGTGTTATATATATACTTATACCGACACATAGTGTTATATATATACTTATACCGACACATAGTGTTATATATATACTTATACCGACACATAGTGTTATATATATACTTATACCGACACATAGTGTTATATATATACTTATACCGACACATAGTGTAATATATATACTTATACCGACACATAGTGTTATATATATACTTATACCGACACATAGTGTAATATATATACTTATACCGACACATAGTGTTATATATATACTTATACCGACACATAGTGTAATATATATACTTATACCGACACATAGTGTTATATATATACTTATACCGACACATAGTGTAATATATATACTTATACCGACACATAGTGTTATATATATACTTATACCGACACATAGTGTAATATATATACTTATACCGACACATAGTGTTATATATATACTTATACCGACACATAGTGTAATATATATACTTATACCGACACATAGTGTTATATATATACTTATACCGACACATAGTGTAATATATATACTTATACCGACACATAGTGTTATATATATACTTATACCGACACATAGTGTAATATATATACTTATACCGACACATAGTGTTATATATATACTTATACCGACACATAGTGTAATATATATACTTATACCGACACATAGTGTTATATATATACTTATACCGACACATAGTGTAATATATATACTTATACCGACACATAGTGTTATATATATACTTATACCGACACATAGTGTAATATATATACTTATACCGACACATAGTGTTATATATATACTTATACCGACACATAGTGTAATATATATACTTATACCGACACATAGTGTTATATATATACTTATACCGACACATAGTGTAATATATATACTTATACCGACACATAGTGTTATATATATACTTATACCGACACATAGTGTAATATATATACTTATACCGACACATAGTGTTATATATATACTTATACCGACACATAGTGTTATATATATACTTATACCGACACATAGTGTTATATATATACTTATACCGACACATAGTGTTATATATATACTTATACCGACACATAGTGTTATATATATACTTATACCGACACATAGTGTAATATATATACTTATACCGACACATAGTGTTATATATATACTTATACCGACACATAGTGTAATATATATACTTATACCGACACATAGTGTTATATATATACTTATACCGACACATAGTGTAATATATATACTTATACCGACACATAGTGTTATATATATACTTATACCGACACATAGTGTAATATATATACTTATACCGACACATAGTGTTATATATATACTTATACCGACACATAGTGTAATATATATACTTATACCGACACATAGTGTTATATATATACTTATACCGACACATAGTGTAATATATATACTTATACCGACACATAGTGTTATATATATACTTATACCGACACATAGTGTAATATATATACTTATACCGACACATAGTGTTATATATATACTTATACCGACACATAGTGTAATATATATACTTATACCGACACATAGTGTTATATATATACTTATACCGACACATAGTGTAATATATATACTTATACCGACACATAGTGTTATATATATACTTATACCGACACATAGTGTAATATATATACTTATACCGACACATAGTGTTATATATATACTTATACCGACACATAGTGTAATATATATACTTATACCGACACATAGTGTTATATATATACTTATACCGACACATAGTGTAATATATATACTTATACCGACACATAGTGTTATATATATACTTATACCGACACATAGTGTAATATATATACTTATACCGACACATAGTGTTATATATATACTTATACCGACACATAGTGTAATATATATACTTATACCGACACATAGTGTTATATATATACTTATACCGACACATAGTGTTA